TTGAGGTTTTGATTTGGATTTCCCTGATGCCGAGCAATGTTGAGCACTTTTTCACGTGTCTGTTGGCCATTTGGATGTCTTCTATGGAAAATGTCTGTTCATGTCTTCTGCCCATTTCTTGATTGGATTATTTGTTCTTTGGGTGTTGAGTTTGATAATTTCTTTATAGATTTTGGATACAGCCCTTTATCTGATATGTCATTTGCAAATATCTTCTCCCATTCTGTCGGTTGTCTTTTGGTTTTGTGGACTTTCTTTTGCTGTGTAAAAGCTTTTATCTTGATGAAATCCCAATAGTTCATTTTTGCCCTTGCTTCCGTTGTGTTTGATGATGTTTCGAGGAAGAAGTTGCTGCGGCTGAGGTCGAAGAGGTTGCTGCCAGTGTTCTTTAGAATTTTGATGGACTCCTGTCTCACGTTTAGGTCTTTCAAACATTTGGAGTCTACTTTGTGTGTGGTGTAAGGAAATGCTCCAGTTTCATTCTTCTGCATGTGGCTGTCCAATTTTCCCAACACCATTTGTTGAAGAGACTGTCTTTTTTCCATTGGACATTCTTTCCTGCTTTGTCGAATGAGTTGACCATAGAGTTGAGGGTCCATTTCTAGCTCTCTATTCTATTCCCTTGATCTATGTGTCTGTTTTTGTGCCAGTACCATACTGTCTTGATGATGACAGCTTTGTAATAGAGCTGGAAGTCCGGAATTGTGATGCCACCAGCTTTGCTTTTCTTTTTCAACATTCCTCTGGCTATTCGGGTCTTTTCTGTTTCCATAAAAATTTTAGGATTATTTGTTCCATTTCTTTGATAAAAGAAGGTATTTGATGGGGATTGCATTGAATGTGTGTTTTCCCTGAGCGGTGGCTCCGTGTTGCACACATGCCAGGGCCCAGAAAGCTCACTGATATGGACGGAACAGGCCACCTGTTGACAGGACAGGCTCCAGCCTCAAGTCCAGACTTCAGACTCCTCTGGGCTGGCTGGCCTTGGACCCCAATGTGGCTGCAGCTCTGTTCTTCCCTCCATGTCCTATGTGCAGAAGTTCCATCCCCCTCCAGAGACCTCTCAGACACTCTCAGATCAGACCGCAGTCTTCTCACCACTGCAAGTGAGCCGTCCTTCCACGTGGCTTCTCTCGACAGAACGAAAACCCAGTCTGTCCCAAGGCCACTTTGACCAGGCACCTTTCAGACATTCTAACCCTCTCTGTTCAGGGAGAGAGACAGACACTTTCACTCTGTCTACTGAAGCTACAGGTAGATGTGTCCATAGAGTGAACTGGAAGAATGATACACGAGGGCAAGAGAGATGTGGAGGGCTTCTAGCACAAGCTATATCTATGGATAGATAAACACGATCCACCCATGGGTCTGGACGCATGGAGACATGGAGATACAGATATATTTGTGCATATGTGAATGGGGTTAGAGATAGAGGTCTATTTGATAGAAGCGACCAAGATAGGAATTCTTTGGTTCCTTCCCCCTTGAAAGACAGACGTGTTGGACATGGAGGGGGTGGGTCTCAAATGACCAAATTCACAATCTCTCCTCTCTGAGGGTGTGTCAAGTAGGTAGGGGCAGAATAAAACCCCAAGGAAAAAACCTACCAATGCCCACATTTTCTTGCAAATGTTTTGATCCATGATCCTTTCTGGAGGTTCAGTGCCCATACTCTGAGTTGCATAAGCATGATGCTCTGACAGAGTGGGCTTCGGTGTGTGTCCACTTGTGAGAGAAAGCGAGATAAAGTGGTAGAGATAGACACAGAGAGACAGAGATCTGAAGAAACAGCGACAAGGAGAGGTGGGGGAGGCAAAGAGCAGGGAAGGGAGGTAGATTCATTCCCAGCATAGTAGGATGAACCTTACATATGCATTTGGCCACTGCTGAGAACAGTGGGGCTAAATACAATGTGCATGGACTGTCTGCCACTTGGGTTCAACCTACATCCCTTGGAGGAATGCTTGCCCATCAGGCACCATCAACCAGGTGAAGCTTAATGACTGCCAGGAAGTGTTAGTGCTGCCCCATGAGGTTGTCTGTGCCCAAAGCTGTGAACTGGACTTGGGCATACCAATGGCTTCCACAGCCCGTCCCAGCGTCAGGAAGCATCTCAAATCTCTGACGATTGTCAGGCATGAGAGGACAGGAGGGAAATGGAATAAATCACAACCAAGAGATCACATTGGGGAGGCAAAAATAGGTTTATTGGACCAATGGATTTTCCCCTCAAGCTTGTGATTCCAGTAGAGATTTCCTCCAAGTTAGCCCTTGCAGTGGAGAGAGCTGACCTTGCTGACAGAAGGCCACTGAGAGGCTGACTGGGAACATCTTCTTTCTTCCTGAGAAGTGAAGGAACACTGTGGGTAGAGAGGCATGCCAATACATACCAACAAATAGAAAACAAATGCTAAGGTTTAGGAGTGAGTCCCAGTGGTACCCTTTCTGGAATGCCTGCTGAGAGTGGCTGTGGCCCTTCTTGCTGCATTTTTGTGTTCTTTGGAAAGGCTTCCCGGGGCAAAGATGCGAGGCAAAGGCCCCAGGGCATTCCAGACGTTGGCTGGGACAGGATCACTGAAAGATGGAAGACTGCAGTCGTTTGCTGTTTCGCTGGTTCCCAGCCTATCCGAGCCAGGATGGATTCGTGACCCTGGGCTCCCAAGGTCAGGATGTGTAGCATCCTGCCTCGGTCTGCACGTTCAGCTCCTGGAGATGGGACTTTCTGTCTGGGCAGGAGGAAAAGGCATGTGGAGGTGTCCTTCTTCGACCTCTTCTCCTTGCTTGGTTTGGCTGCCAGGGCCAGAGTTTCCCAGTCTACAGAGGAAAGGGTGATGGCAGGGAGGAGGTCACGTGTGTGTCCTGACAGTGCTTTGGATCAATCAGATGTCGGGGAGGGTGCCCATTGCCGGTGCCCATGGTGCCTTCAGAGGCTTTGTGGAGCTTGGTGCTCATCGGGAAGGCAATGGAGGCCCACACACAGGGAAGAAAGGATATGCTTCTTCTGTCTTTCCAAGCAATGGATGCTGCTTTGGGCGTCGGTCTTCCTTTGGAACATGCACAATGCTGCCTGTTCCTCTTCCTTGCTGACCCGCTAGGACTGCATCTCAGGAAAGATCTGAATGAGTGAGGGGTGGGAAGGATGAGGTCTCCCTGCTCCTAGGCATGAGGCCATGTGGAGTCATGCAGCATGGCCAGAAGGGCGTGAAACTCCTCCTCGCTGAGGGGTGCTTCCAGGGATCCCGGAGCGTCCTCTTGTGGCAAATGCCCACTGAGAAAAGGGTGTGGGTCTTCTTCCATCTCTGCAGCTGAGAAAAGTTCCTCTAAAAATCTTGAGGCTTCTGCAGAGGGTTGGCGCTGAGGGTTGAGCGCAGCAGACAGCCCTGCAGTAGAATGTGCCTGCTGCTGCCAGCCAGGGGTCTCAGCATGTGCAGTATGCCTAACTGTCCCATCCTGAGCCTGTCCTGTGCCAATGACAAGCTGGGACCCCTAGCTCCAGAATTGGGCAGCGCTTTTGCTCCAGGGTTCCCTGCCTCCTTCAAGCCTTGGCAAGGATTGTCAGCTAGAGGATGGGGGTAGTCTTGGAAGGGCAGGGGTACCATGCCAGGGTGCTCATGTTGCTGCTGGTATTCCCCTTGGGACGGGGGGCAAAGAAGAGCGTGTCGAACAGAGAGACACCCTCCCAGAGTCGGTCCCATCAAGGAACGGCTCCTCAGTCCTTCAGCAGCAGGAAAGTTGTTTCCTCCTTGCCCACCTTGGGTGGGCGGGACCATCGTGGCCCCCAGGGCCTGGCTCCCAGGGCCCCCACAGAAAACTAGAGGGGCAAAGCCCATGTAGGGAATGGGATTTGTCCCTGCAGCAAGGGCCTGCATGCGTCCCCGAGGAATGGCAGGAATGGACAGAGCCAGCGGAGGAGAGCTTACACGGACACCGGCCAGGGGGCCTGGTTCCCCTGGGACTGTCACACGAGGACTGTGTTTGGGGTGTGTTTCCAGGTCCTTCATGGGGCCACTTCTGCTCTGCCCTGGGTGCCGAGCTCTTCTGTTCTGGAACCAGACCTAGGACAGACAAGAGATGTCGTGGACATGAGAAGAAGGGATAGATGTCAGCTGTCTTTCCCCCCTATCCCAACCTGGGATCTCTCACGGGGAAGGCCAGGACTCTTGGTCTGAATCTCAGGGGAACTCTGTCCATAACTTTCACCTGGCCCTTGGAAACTAGGTGAACACCCAGGGAAACTGTGGACACCTGGCCTGGAGTCCATCCCCCTTTGATAGGCTTGAATGGCAGGCGCTCAGCTCTGCTCTGCCCGCTGTTCAGTCCCTACCTTGCTTTCTCTTTGCCAATTGCAGCTTTCTGAGCAGCCATTCCAGGAGTCCTGGGACAAAGACAGCCGACCGCCTGCCCCTCCTTCCCCAGGCTACTCCAAGTCCTCTGGAATGCCTCAGGGCATCCCTCAACAATTTTCCCCGCCCCGGCGTCTGATTGGGTGTAATCCAAATGGCAAACCACAAACTCTGGCTAACAGGCCCTCAACCCATGCTTCCTGGCCTCGCATCCACATGATAGGTAAGTCTACAAGCACAACTCTTATGGGTCTAGAGGAAGGCATGGGCAGCCAGGAGTCCATATCAACAACACTCACATTCGGATTTGGCTTTCCCTCTCCTCCGGTTGCTACATGGGAAGAAGGGTTCTCAGGATCGAGCATGTTGAGATTCCCCTCTGTCCAGGGACTAGCGATTAAGGCCTGCTTGAGGCAGGGTCACTGGCGCTTGTCCCAAAGGAGAGGTTTCCAGGGAGTCTGCCTCCATATACCATAAGGGCGTTTCACAATTCCTATACCAGGAACCACTCTCTGTAGAGCTTTCTCAACCAGGGCACATGGGACCTTTCACCCACCTGCCAATAATCCTTGGGACAATTATCCTGGATGATTAGGTTATGCAGACAAGGTGTGGTTTGTGGGTAGAATCCATTCCTGCCCTGGGGTCCTGAGGCCCAGGACACTGACAAACACGTTGCCACACACAAGACAGCAACTCCACTCACACTCACAAAATCCAGAGGGCCACATGGAGAATGCTACTACGCTGCTCAAGAGCTGACAGTTTGTGCGATCTCTAGATAGGTGCCAATGTTTCTGTTTCCCGTCTTTTGTCTGCTTAACATTTCTTTATGCATGTACACTCCCACCTCCACCCCCCCAAACACACACAGCATTTGGTATGGAAATTCTTCCTTGGACGGTCTCTCACTTGCAAGTTCAACACATTCCCCCCATTGCCTGGGCATTGGATCCTGTGGATAACTCCAAGGAGCCCACAATTCCCAGCAACGTCTCAGGCACCACTATCCCTTCCACGTTGAACAACTCACAGGCCACACTCTGAAAATATACCTGAATGCGGGATTCCTGAAGATCGGTGAGTCTGGCCAGGTATTCCCTTGTAGCAATGCTTGGAAAGCGGTTCTTGTCAAAGACTTGAAGGAGGATACTGGTTTGGGTTGGAGAAATGTATGTCCGTTTTCTCCCGCCTAACTTTGGGAAATGTTCTAAAAAGAGAATAGAGTTAGAAAGGAGACCTTTGAAGCCACTGGCACATCCAGTGTAGAAAGAGAAATTAGTGTCCGTGTGCACGCATGTGTGTGTGTGTGTGTGTGTGCGTGTGTGTGTGTTTTCTCTCATGCTTCTCCATTTTCTCTAAAGCCTCTCCTCCCTGAGTCCACTGAGGACAGCATGGACCCACCCACACAATCCAGTGCTTGGATCTAAATTCTGAGGTGACCCCAGAAAGGACTCTGTCCTTCCTACAGTTTCAGGACAGGAAGATTCAAAGCCTTTCTTGCCCAGAAACAACGCACCCGCCCAACACGTGGTGCATGCACAGTGTCCATCTCTGGGAACAGAAAGGCAGCTGGAACAAGTGGTCATGGGTCCCTCTGCTAAGCCTTCTTGCCAAACACATGGCAAGCCCATGCACACCCGTTCCTGTGTCAAGGAGAAGGTCAAGAAGGGACCTGTTTTATATGCTGGGGAGTTACCCTGAGTCCAAGCTGGAGGCTGTTCCTGTCCATGTGGTGGCCCTTCCCCTTGGGATTTGGCAGACCCCAGTTGGCTCTACCTTAGCTGTCTCGTGCGCTGGTTCTGGAACCACATCTAAATGGTAAAAGAAGAACGGATGGTCAGGCAACACTGGTGGACATGATCTATATCTATCTATCTATCTATCTATCTATCTATCTATCTATCTATGTGTGTGTTTTGTTTTGTTTTTTCTCATACCTAATGTCTCAGAGTGTTTTGCATGGACCATGCGATAACTCTGGACAAATGATCTCTAGGGATAGTCAGCGAAGATATGTTTACCTGTTGGAATATCCCAAGCCTGGCACACCAGTAGTACCTGGGTTCCACGACTGAATGACTTGGAACGACTTCAAAGGTCATGAGCTCAACAGAGATGCACATACAGGGGACAAAGCTTCTTAGCTCCCCAGCTGAGCATGTAGATTGACATGCAGTGGCTTGGGCATGATTGTGTCCATGAACTGTCCCCCAGTTAAAATGCAAGTGAAGCTGAAACCTACCTGGATTCTGGATTCTGGAATGTCTAGCTCTCGGGCCAGTCGTTCTCTGGTGGTGATGCCTGGGTATGGGTTCTGCTGGAACAATGCGTGCAGAGCCCCTTACTGCGTCGGCTTCAAAACAAGCCGCCTCCGTCGGAATCCGCACGGGAGGGGGCCTGTTGCAGGGAAAATGACAACCGTATTAGGAAGGCTTTCATAGGAATGCAAACTGGTGGTGCAGTCTCAGCTCTTCACTTTCTGCGCTGTGGACAACTTCCCGGGCCGGGGCTTCCTGTGCCTTTGCCATTCATGGATCCAACTAAGGGTCTGCTCAATAGGACAGGCAGTCCACCATCTGCCTATGGGAATGGGTGATAGGCAAGGATCTAGGGAAATACCAACTGCTATCCAACCATGTGATGGCATGCCAATGAACTGAGGAACCCTGCGGTGGGGATGAAGAGGTGAAAGCACCTTAGGAGAAACAAAGAGGAACCCACTGCTCCTGAAAAACATCAAGGTCAACTCCAACAGCACATCCGAAGTGCTGGTCCATGAGGTGAAAGTTCTATTTTGTAAATGACACCTGAAATAGGTGCTGAATATTTTCCTGTTCTCTGCCACCTGAGATCTACCTTGCCTATTTGCGAAAGAGGGACTCTTGTTGGGAATTCCGGTCACCAACTTCAGTTTTCATTCTGACAGCAGCCATATGCAAACCTCTCTCTATCACTTTCCCCCAATCCTCCCTGGATCACAATCCCTCCAGCCTGTATGGCGGCAATCTAGTTGGTCTCTTCTACTTTCGGGAGCCCTGAAAAATTATCAGGGACTTTGGGAATTGCAAGCAGGGAGCAGGGCATTGGATGGAAACTTACTCCTTGATGTGCTGGTGGCAGCCATGCCGATGGAGTCACTTGGATTCCAGAGCACTGGCCGGCCGACTGCGCAGGACCCGGACCATGGGTCTTATCAATGCCTGGGATGACCCACCCCTGGATGTCCCACCCCATCATTTCGACAGCTTCCTGTGGTAGCCCTGCCTTCAGTTTTCTGACCTTTGGCAGAAGAGGTCTTCAGGAGGACGTCAAGACCACTTGAGGTAAGTGCTTGCCCTGGGCAGTTGGACGTGCCCCGCCGCCAGATGCAATGTGCCTTTCCCGCTCCCACTAGCTTTTCTCCAGGATTACAGCCTTGACATCGAATCGTGGTGTTGAGACTCTGGGACTCTGTGTAGGACCAGATTGGGTGAAGGACCTTCGGTAATCGCTTCAGATTCTGGCATGTGCGTGTGGAACTCGAATCACCTTTGGCCTCCCAAGACGAGCCTCCTAATTAAGTTCCCTTGTCTTGCATTACATTGTTTTCTATCTTTCTTTTCTTTCTTTACATTTATTTTTTTGTATCGGAACTTTCCTCATTTTTCATTTGAATGTTTTTCCCCTTCATTTTTCTATTTACTTTTTTGGTATTACTTATTTTTTAATATTGATTTTGTAAGTGCCCTGGTATTTTCAACCATCACCCCGCCAATCAGGACTGGTTAGCCACATAGTTTGGTGTCTATATTCCCTCCACATCTGGGGACCCCGATTGTGATGACATCATGGCATTTCCCAGGCAGCTTGTGAAGCTACAGGTGTGGAGCCAGGTAGGATACTGAAATCAGTCAGCTTAGATGGGTGGCACGTGAGAGGGAAATTGCAGAGTTGGCCATCGCCATGTATGTGGGGTGGTTTGTTTGACACTCTTAGTTGCTTGTGGGTTTGCACATGATTGTGTGTGGCAAACCACCTCCTGTGACTCAGAGGCTTTGAACCCTTTCCTCCCAGCCTCACATCCAGCTGGTTCCTCTACTGGCACATCTCTTATGGGCCATGGAGACAGCTTGGCATCTAGAAGTTCCACCAGCATTTGGATTTGACTCTCTCTCCTTTTGTGGCTGGAAGAAAATTTTAACTCTCATTGGCACCTTCAGTTTCTTCTCTTTCTGTGTATAAGAGGTGTCAGCGGGGGGTGTGGGTGGGTGGAGCAAGATTGTAGAGGAGTAGGAGACCTGGATTTCGTCTGGTCCCACGAATTCAGCTGGATAGGGATCAGACCATTCTGAACACCTACAAACTCAACAGGAGATCGAAGAGAAGAATAGCAACAACTCTCTGATCAGAAAAGCGAACATTTTCTGGAAGGGAGGACTTGCGGAGAAGTGAATACGAGGCGATATTTGGGAGGATAGACGGTGGGGGAGGGGGACTCCGTCAGCTGCTTTTGGCAAGTGATAGAGTCGCAGAGCATAAAATTGGAAATTTTAGAAGTCGGGTCCGCTGAGGGACGTTGCTCCAGTGGGTAAGCGGGGGTGGAACACTCGCGGGACACTGTGGTCTCAGGACCCTCGGGGTCATAGAAAGACTAGGGGTGCCTGAGTGCGGCAGAGCTCCCAGGTATCGGAGCAGGGAAGCTGGCTGCAAAGACAGACCCAAGGGGGTTGCCATAAACTGTTATCGGTGACACAGTCAGGCCACTGCTCCTCCAACAGGGACTCAACATGTGGCAGATCTGGGGAGACTCCTCTTCCTCCCCCGGGAGGAGTGGTGGGAGAGTGCACCACAGGGATCTGCTGGGTTTGGAGACTCCACACTGAGTCAGGTGGCAGAGATAGAAACGCTCGGTCACAGGCCAGGTGAGCCTAGAGTATGGCCGGAGACAGGGAGGCAGGAGTGAATGACTGCTTTTCTCTTGGGGTGCACTGAGGAGTGGGGTCCCTGAGTTCCCGTGTCCTCCGTGGCAGAGATTGGGAGGCCGCCATTTTCACTCTCCTCCTCCAAAGGTGAACGCAAAGCTTGCAGGGAACAAAATCTACTGAGAGCAAAGTGGAGAAAATTACTTAGCACGGACCGGCAAGGGCGGGGCAATTCCCTCTCCGGCAAAGATATTTGGGAACCACGGCAAGAGGCCCCTCCCCCAGAAGATCAGCAAGAACAGCCAGCCAAGACCAAGTTTACCGATCACTGAGAA